GGTGAAACCTGACGAGCGAGAAGAGGATGGTGATGATGGGCAGGCTGGGGGTCCGGGAGGTGTGATGGATTAGGTGAGAGCATAGTGCTGAGGAAACTCAGAAATTCCTTTGTGCAGCGTTGGGTGTCTCCCCGCTGTTAGCCTGGCTGTTTTCTTATGGCATTGATCTCTGTGAGATTAACATTGACTTTAAACTCTTTCAAGTCGTTATGACAAGTGAGCACGGCAGTAAATTCTTCCATATCAAGAGTGAGACAAATTGTACTGTGCTGCGTATTATGGTGTAGTACTACTAATTGCTTAACTTGATAAATGTCTTCTGATAGGTTATATAGTTAATGAACAAAGATGTTAATTGCTCTTATCTGAAATAGCTGCATTTGCTGGGGCGTACTCTGGAGCCATGGATGTCTCCTAACAGAGATTTATTTCAAATCGTCCATTGTTTTCAGCAGTGTCAGAGTCCATTACCCTTCAGTGTACCAACTGAGCAGCCTCCACCCCCATCGAGTTTCTGAGCACAGTCAGCTCTTCCTACACGTTATTCAGCAAGCCTGAATCTTATTTGGGTATGGAAAGCTGATATGTAGTACAGTGCGCTCATCATCCTGGGCTGCAGCAGCATGGCTCATTCTTAGAAGCAGCCAAGAGAGAAATAAGCACCTGGCAGTGGAAGAGCAAGGGTCTGGAATAGCCCCGTTCCCCCTCCTACCATCTGGAGTATTTAATTGGGAAAATAATTCTTCATTGTTGTTGTGTTGGTGGGAGTTGTCAGTCTAAGTATGTTTTAATGCAAATAGCCATCTCTATTTGTAGAATCCATCTTTTCTAGACGCTTTCTTTGGAAAATATGCAGCTGAAGATTCAGTACATTATTATATGAGTAAGTGCATACAAGCCTCATATTAACAATGGACGTCATGTTTCTTCTTCCCCTTTTAGAATTTCCCATGGAAACAAGTGGGCAGATTTTTGCATTATTGAGTAGTCTGCTGCTGCCGACTTTTGCCAGAAATGCTAAGAGAAAACTAGCCCCAGGCATGAGCCTGCGTGTTCTTCCACTTTTGGGGGCACTGGATTCCCCTAAGATTTGATTTATAGTAGGTTTTGGTGTGTGGCTATTCTGGTCCAAAGTTGTTTCAGAGCTGTATGATTAATAAATCTTTATGGAACTGAAAAAAGGCAGGGTTCTCACTGAGGTTCAAACATGCCTGATTTCCCAATGGGGAAGCCGCGTATTTCATTAGGAGGCTAAAGGCTGATGTGAGGACAAAAATGTTTCTTTGACTTAAGCTTTTTTGCTTATTGTGATAAATATCGTTTTCATTTACGAGTCTCTTGCAGTTTTTTCAGAACATGTTCAACAGCAAACAGCCAGAAGTTAGAACTGGAACTGTAAATCTGTAAGCTGACATAGGTAGGTTTGCTGGCCAGTTTCCTTAGGCAGGATTAATTTTTTAGAGGAAATGAGAAAAGTGCATTATCTTGCTTCGCTTGATGGATTTCAGACTTCACCAAGAAATATAAATCTCCTTTCGAAAATGACACCAATAAAGATAGGAATTACTGTTTTCTCAAATAAAGGCATTTTCAAGTGGACTTGATGTGTTACTGCTCTAAGATGCTGTGGCTTTAGACTGTCTCATACCAGTAATTAGACTGAAATACTCAGGTCCTCATGGCTCACTCTCTCTCCCATGATATGCTGCCCCATAAATTATGTTAACATAGTCGTTTTTATTTCATGTTAGAAATGCGGCCAAAGGAGCTGAAAAGTGATCTAGCAATAGCTGGACAGGTTCCCTGGTCTGCCCAGCACTGCAGCCAGGTTTGCCTGAGCAGAGGCAAAACGGGTGGATGGAGGTGGGAGTGCTGCCTCAGACTGGTGTTGGTGCCAGATGGTTTGTGGTGACCTGCTGCTCAGATCTCTGCGTCCACATTTTGAGCGACCTGCGGGTGAGGATGCAGCTTCTGGGGGAGCGTGCGAGCGAGACCAGCTGGAAGATGAGAACGTGCAGCACTTGCGCTGCTTATTTATCGACCGCAGTGATTCACCGTGATCGACGCTCGCATACCTGAGTGTCAAAATAGCCTGTGTTTTAAGAGGAACCAGTGACTCAGGCTGTGGTTTTACCTCGAGCCATTTCCTGATAAACGGCTGAACTGTGCTTGGTCTTGAGAAAACACAAGCGGGGAACAACTGCTCTGTCCTGCATCTATGTGCGCAGGGATTAGAGAACGGCCACCTTCGTGCGGGGCTGACTGTCACCTCCTCAGTGCCGTGGTCTCTGTGAGGAGTACCACGTGAGGTCTGGGAAGCCTCAGGTCTGAGGACAGCTCTGTTTCAGTGCTGCTTCAGAGCATTGCTGCACAGCCCTGATGTGGGAGCGTGGTCTTCAGTGTTTGACAGCATATAGAAGCACAATTTTAAGGAGCTCTAGATGATGATAAATCACTTTGCTTTTAGACTGTTTCAATTTCAAAAGAGAGGTGAAGTTGCCTATAGCTGGTGTTTTCAGAGTGGAAAATACTTCACGTCCCAGGACATGGTGTTTTTAATGAAAGCAGAAGCAATGCGTGTGACACTGTGTATAGGGATTAAAGTGCATTTGGACTATATATCTATTTTTTTAGTAAGATAGAAAACAACTTACCAAAGCTTTGTGTGTGGTATAGATAGAAGGTATGGAAGTGGGATCATACGAGTGCTATAGAAACTGCCTCATTGGCATCACACTTCCTTTGGAGTCATTCGCCATCTGTGTCATTCCACGTTGTGGTTTAGGTGGTCTTCCCGTCCTTTGCAAACTGCAGAACTCTGTTCCTCTGTTCTTACTAACAAAAAGGACTGTCCTCCATCCATGCCTGGGATGAGATTACTTGTGCGTGGCTACAGAGCTGTGATTGAACCGGATCAGTTGTCTTTAGTGCTGTTTAAATGGATGCTTTAGGGTATGGAAGAGGCTTCTCTTGGCAGCAGATTCTATGAGAATTCTCCCAATCTTCTTTGAAGTTCATGGAGGGTATTAAGGGCAGTCAGCACCTTCTTAAGAGAGAAATCTGAATTGCTTTGATTCATTTCATTTTATATCTGCATCAGCCGTCTCTGGATCTCTCCCCTCTCCAGTCATTCAGAGCATGGTTTTTGATAACTTCGTGTGCCTCCTGAGCATTCTCGATTTTCTGCTGGCTGCTTTCGTGCTTTTCCCGGAGTGTTGTAATGCTGATTACAGAAGGATCTCGGGCCTTCGGCTTCCTGTGAGAATGAGATAATTACTCTCCAGTAGGCAACGCATGACGTACAGTATCAGCGTTAAGCCACTGGGATTCCAGTCACTAGTGTAGAACAATATTGTGGGTAAATGAATAAGCAGAACTTTATCATACTTCCTGCACTACAAGGTTTTAGTTAAAGAGACAGTGAAAATTGTTTTCAGTGAGGGCTAGTGTGAAATGAACGCTGCCGCAACCAACGTTACTGAAAAAGATGTTAAAGTTCTGTTCCCTGGCTTGCTGGGTTTGTCTTGCTGAAAAGACAAATTACCTTTATAGGTGCAAGGGTGGATGACAGAACCATCACTGCATTTTGGCAGAGGACGTTTATGGCCTTATGAACACGTACGAAGTGTACGACTTCAGAGAGTGATTTCCAGATGCACCACCTACCTAACTTACAGGAGAAAGTTGCACTGATGAGAAGTGGAGATGTTCCGTGTGCAGTTTGCTTATCTCACGCTCGCCCCCAGGAATCCTGTGTTGGGATTTTAAGAGCTGGCCCTGTTTGACCTCAAAATAGATGTGGTTTCTCCCTTGCCTTCATTATTTCAAGACTATGAGTTAAAAATAAGTTACGTATTGGGCACAGTGGGAGTAAGTTTGAGAAGTTTGTTGTATGTAAACCAGTAAGAGTGAGAAAATAATTCATAAACATAATGAACTCTATACTCTTGCAAGATATGGCTTACCATAGTTTATCCGTGTGGTGGGATTAGTAATTTTTTGTATGAAAGTAGTTCCTCTGCCGTAGCAATACTGAGCAGTTTGCTTGCACTACAGCAAAGTGAAACAAATGACGTCTTTGAGGACCTGTGTTAAACACTTAAATTACTTAAGCAACGTGAAGACTTGTACAGCGTATGTATGTGTACTCGATAGCTATGCAGCCATATCTCTGTGTATTTACTTGTGTTTAGGATGTAATTTTACACGTGCTTGCATATATACGTCTGTATTTCAGCTTGTCTCAGAGCTAACTGTGCTGCTGTAATGCCTGAGAATTGCGGGGACACAAATAGGAGTTTTGTGTTTAAGTTTGTTTCATACTGCCAATTTCTGTTGTACATGTAATTGCAAAATGCAGTTGCTTATTTATGGTTTAATTGTGACTTTCACTGTGCACCAGGCATCAGCAGTCTGTGCAGGAAACCAGTACTTATGTGTATGCCGAGATAAGTACCTTGGTTGCTCTGCTTTTGCTTGAGTCTGAAAGCTGAGGGCTGAATCTTTGGAGCCCCAAGAACCACAGTCAAATGTGGCAGCCTAGACTTTGGTGATGTGCTTATCAACCTTGCAGGCAGGGAGGACAAGAATGCGTGGCCTAAAACTCCCTCAATACAGTGTGCTGCTGTGCTGCCTGTATGGCTGAGGTGCTTTTTCAGACGTTGATAGCACGTGCATGGCCAGATTCAACTTGAAGTTGGGTTCCATTGATTTTTGGGTGCAGAACAAATGGAGTTTGACACTTTTGTATTTCAGGTACCTAGGCCTGGCCTGGTTTTGTTTTCGGATGGGTGATCTTAACACTTGAATGAGCTGAAGGTGGCTGGATATCAGTGTTGAATGGCTTGTATAGGAATTTTGCTTTCCAATTAGATATTTTGCAGATATTTTCAAGACCAAGAGCATTTTTGATAGTGCTGTTCTTACTTTGAAATTGTAAAACTTCTAATTGACTAAGTAAACATTTCCCCATCCTTGTCTTTGTTTTCTTGCAGCCAACTGGGTACATGGAAAACTCCATTTCCTACAGTGCTATTGAAGATGTTCAACTGCTCTCCTGGGAGAATGCCCCCAAGTACTGTTTACAGCTCACAATCCCAGGGGGAACTGTCTTACTGCAGGTACAGTAAACACACAAGTACAGCTTTCTCTGTTTTACTGTGACTCTCCTTTAACTTCTGTTTGCTATGCATGAAACCCTAGTTAGATGAACTTAGAAAAGGCAGAGAACTCAACTCTTGTCAGATTGCCCAACCACCAGAACATTTGCTCAGGGTGATAGCTCTAAAACTCTTAACATTGTTTGACAGTCAGAATGGAAATTTGGGGTCACAGTGATTAAACCTTCTTGCTGATTTTTGTGTGTCAAAATTGTGTTCTGTGGAAAGGCACATTGATGTGGGCCTGTTACAGTTTTACACAGAGTCCTATTCCTGCATGAAACAAGTTAAAAATTTCATCCTTTCATTCATATATGAAACCTGTGACATTCACTGGAACTTACAGGTTATCTTTTTTCTATAAGATATTCAATCTTCACTGGAAGTTTTCAGTATATCTGTGTGCTGGTTCTCTGAATGTTGTTTTCCAACAGAAGACACTGTGTTTATGTTATTCCAGATTTCCTCATCCACTTGCGAGGTGTTGTAGGGGTCCTTAAGTCACTGCAAATTTTAGTGACAGAGCAGCGCTCCGCAGCCCTGAGCTTTGGAACTGCTTTAGAGTAGGAAAGGAGAAGCAACTGAAAACCCAGCTGCTTGACCCCCAAATAACTTTGAACATCATAATTTGAAAAAGATTGAATTGACTCCAAGTGAATTCTTACCATAGTTATCAACCTTGTTTCAAAGGCAATGAGTTGCTGTTACGCTTTGGATATTTTTTCTAGAAAAAGTATGAACCATTTCAAAGGATTGTAATGGAGCTTGTGTGTTTGGGTGTTCACACACACACACACACACACACACACGCTTTAACTGTACCACTTTTGCACAAAATGTAGTCCAGTAGATAAAGATGGAAACATACTGAACGATACGCTGCTGACGGTGATGACCGTGTCTGCTGGATTATTTGTCCATGTGAATCCTGGTACACAGGGCACAGTTGAGCCTTTAGGATAGGATGGAGTAGAATAGAGTGGAATAGAATAGAATATTTCAGTTGGAAGGGACCTACAATGATCATCCAGTCCAGGCGCCTGACCAGTTCAGAGCTGACTGAAAGTTAAAGCATGTTGTTAAGGGCATGGTCCAAATACCTTTTAAACACTGACAAGCTTGGAGCATCAGCCCCCTCTCTGGGATGCCTGTTCCAGTGTTTGACCACCTTCTCGGTAAAGAAATGCTTCATGATGTCCAGTCTAAGCCCCCCCTGATGCAGCTTTGAACCATACCAGGGAGAAGAGCTCAGCACCCCTCCCTCTCCACTTCCCCTCCTCAGGAAGCTGTAGAGAGCAATGAGGTCGCCCCTCAGCCTCCTTTTCTCCAAACTACGCAAACCCAAAGTCTTTAGCCATTCCTCAAAAGGTATTCCTTCCAGAAGGATTTTCATGATTTCTTGGTGGTGAATTGTCTGCTGAAGGAGGTGGCACCATCTATATCCAGGGAGGGTTTAGTCAAAGCTCTTCTGAAATGGCTCTACCTGCAGATCATAGAAGTATACCAAGTGGTTTCATTCAGTAATCCAAGGCTAGGTCTCAGTCTAGGTCCATGTTTTCCGTACTATAGACTTCTGTAGGGACGTGAAACAGGCAAAGGTGACTTGGAGTTGGGAAGCCAAAGTGGTTAACACTGTGTCGTGCTCAATATTAGGTCCAGCTAGATCCAGCTCTCCTTGGCTTCATTCCAGACTGGCTGATGGGTCTGTCCGTATGCAGAGCTGTTTGCCAGAAGCGTAGAGGACACAGTACCTGGCATCAGCCTTACACATGGTTCCTCTGCTTGGGGTTTGGGATGGTTTTGGAATGTCATAAAAATATCATGAGGTTTCGATGATTTTCAACATAGCAAATACACTTTCACTCTGAAGTGGTTGGAGGTGTACGTGGAAACATTCATGGCCACATCCTCTATGGAGTATGTTGCTGGAGCTACCTTTCATTTCCTTCACTAGTGTCATCTTGGGGTTTTGCAGCCCTGTAAAATGGGGCTGCAGCCGTTCCCCCATTTTAATCTGAAAATGATGCAGCTAAGTAAGTTTGGGATGACATGAGAATGTCTAACTTTGGACTCTCCTGGTGCATAGGTGGCAAAACCCCACAGGTGTGTGTCTTTGCACAAGTCTTTGGAGCCCAGCGTGTGTCCCATTTGCACACAACACGTGTACATGCCTCTGCTCGGTACCTGGACAGTTTCTGAATTTCAGACAGGCTGCTGCAAGTCCACCCGGATCCTGATTCTGTGGTTTGAAAAGCCTCTACTGTGCGTGACACTGGAGAAGGCAAGAAGACAAGTGCTGTTTTCCCAACAGCTAGATTAGGGTCCTCATTATTGATGAAATCTTCCTTGCCTAATCTGTTAATTGAATTAATTGATACAAACTCATTTGTCAAGTGGATGATTTTGATTCTTTTCTTGTGATAATTTTGGCCCTGCTTTTTTCCATAAATTTCCTTAGTGGCGCTAGCACTTACATTTGTGTCTGCTTCAACAGCTAGAATAGTTACATCTGCCTTTCCAAATTCCAGTTCTAGGCCTTTATTCTGCAGTTTATGGTAGATGCCTGCATGGGCCTGCTTAATAGGAAACAAGATAAAGTTTGAACCCACAGCTCCCTGCCGTATTTAAAGGAAATGGGTAGAGCGTGCAGACTTTAATCTGTTGCAGCCTGCCATTTGTTTCTTTAAAAAAACCAGACAAACCAAACACACAAATAATGACATCTGTGAGAAAGTCACAGGTTAGTGAGGATGCCTTCGTCTTTTCTTCAAAAAGATCGGTATCTTTCTGTAACCTCATAGGAACTGATGAAGAGGTGGAGTGAGCTGGGCTTCTGTTACGTTTGTTGCTGACTGGCTGAACAGACTGGGGAGCAGATTACACTGTAACTCTGTGGGAATTTCAACATAATTGGCAATACAAACTTTAAAAATGTTTTTATTATGACTTGGTCCACGGTAGTGTCTTGATTCATCAGATGTGGCCAGATCAGAGGGAGTATAAAAATAGATTTCCTTTATACAGCTGTAATATGTATTCACAAATCCAGAACACTGCTAAAATTTATGTGTGGTTTACTTAAGAAATCAGGACACAAAACCTAGGTTTGTCTAGTAGTTGAGTTCAGCAGTTCTCTGGTATGTGTGACAAACAGTCTAAGTATCCAAAAGACATGTTCACTGAGGTGCTGGGAAACAGAGATGCTAAGAAATTAGCCTTTGTATATCGCAGTTATTTCCAGATTTCCAAGAGACTTCAATGCATTGATGGGAAACTGGGACTTCCGATCCCTTGCACAATCATTGTGCCCTGGCAGGCTGAGCAGCAGCCTGCTCTGAGGTCATGTCCAGCTCTGATGTTGGGAAGTGTGTGATAGTGGAACGAGTAAAACCAACCCAAAACTTGTGCCCGCTGCTGGTTCTTCTGAGGTGCACTTTTGGCGAAATCTGTTGATTTTTGGTTTTGTTTGTTTGGGTTTTTTTAGCTTTTTGGTTGTTTGGTTTTCTCCTTCAAAGACTTGATCTGAATGAGGTTTATATATAGAAAAATGCTTAAACGGACTCTTTTGACTACCCCCTATTTATTTAATATTAATGTCAATTTTTGTATTTGTACATGCTGTGCTGTAAATTCTTTAATGCTATGGGATACTATTGATATGGTTTGATGTAAAATGAAGCATTTGTGTAGTCCTGAATCGCAGGTTTTCCTGATTCTTCATTTTGCAGAAAAATTTACAATTCCAGCTTCTGCCTCACCGATTTGAAGCAGAAGCAAATTTCGGAGAACAGGCATTTCGCTCGGATGGAAATACATTTCCAGCAATCCTTGTGGGAGGATGTCAGCATGTGGTGCCTGAACATCCTTTGTTTATTTGTCTGTGTTAGGCATGACAAATGCCACCAGAGAGTCCGAGTCCACATTCGAGTTCTCATCCCCCCTGTCTGCTGTCACCAGGGTCTATTTCTGGCTCATTACTGCACAGTAATGAGTCAGAGGAGGAAGAGTGCCGTTACCTTTCCTTACATCATCCTGGTGTCCTCCAGAGCAATACTGACCCATCCCAACCTGTTTTAACACATGGAATGTGACAAGCAGCCGGAGGTGATGCAGCTCCTCTTAGGAAATCTGATCACGATAACAGGACGTGTCTACCTGGGTTTCAGAGGAGGATTGGGTTCCCGGGCAGCAAGCAGCTTAATCTGGGCTGGGATCACATCAAGCGGTCATCTTCGTGCCTGTGCTTCCCACTCAGTGTTTGTTGTACGAGCACAACTGTCTGAGCACAGGCGGGTCTCACTGCCCAGCATTGGAGGGTTCTCGCTGTCCCTCTGTGGGAGTCATGGACAGTCGGTTTTCTAGCCAGGCTGTGGGGCCTGTGTTTCCTTTTCTTCTGCCAAACGATGTGGTCATTGTCCTCGTCCTGCTGATGAGCAGCAACCAACTCTCCCACATTTTTATTTTTTTTCTTTGCTATAACTGGGAGCGCGGGTGTGAAAGAAGGTGTAGCTCAAAGCACAAACTCTTTAGGCCAGGAAATAGGAGTTATATTTAGCTTTTGAAGAAGTGAGAGCTCTTTAGTATCAATCGTAGCTGGGCCTCTTTGTGCTGGGCTAAACTTCTGCTCTTCTGCTTTCTGTTTGCAAAGCACAGTGTGTGATTGTGGCATTGTGCGGGTGATTATTAAGAGGGTGCTGCTATTGACAGTGAAACAACCCAAATAACCTTTTGAAGGAGATTGGAAAAAACTTAAGAGTATAATTTCACACACTGCTTAGCACCAAATGTAGAAAGAGTCCCAGGAAAGAGGCTTTGGTATTTCAGTCACGACAGTACTGCCTGCTTTCCCCAGCGTCCTTTCTTTCAGATGGGTCCTAAATGCCTTAAAGCCACCACTTCCATCCCTACCACCAGTGTTGTTTTATTCATTTCTTGGCAATCAAGCATAATCAGAAGGAAAAACAAACAGAGCAGGAAGCCTTGACAAGCACAGCAGTCACACGTTCGGCGCTGTGCTCAAGCACGCTGATTTTGCCAGGGAGTCCCCACAGTAAATGTTTCCACTGCGTTTTTAGTAACATTTTATTTTAGCCTCCTCGGAGAACCTGGCTTTTGTTTTAAGTGTGAGTCCAGCTGATGTTGCCGGTGTGGAGGGGTCATGCAAGGACGACAATCCAGTGGAGTATTTTCAGGAGGAAAATGGCATTTCTAGCAATGACCAGCAACTCTGTACCTGGGTCAAGCCAGAAGAGTGGCAGGTTTGACTTGCAGGGCTGCCCGTGCCGTGGAGGTGCAGCTGTGGGATGTGCATCAGCAGCATGAATATTTTGTACAGTCTGCATAGGGCAGAGGTCTGCGTGCCATGGGGGCTCGACCTCCTGCAGCCCTGAGCTGCTCTGCTCCGCTGCTCCTATGGCTGATAATAAATCGATGCAGAGAAGCCTGCAGTATTTTATGAGTCCCAGCAATTAATATCAGCTGGAGGAAAGCATAACGAAACCGCATCCTGCTGACCAGAGTGCAAGTAAGGGAGAGAAAGAGAAACACAGAATAAAACCTGGAAGGGTTAAAAACAGAACCTGGGTCGTCAAATCCCACTTACTGTCACATCTTTTCAGATGGCAAAATCCCTTGGGAGGACACGTGTGAAGGACGCTGTTGCAAGGAAAACACTGGGATGTTTTTGCTATGTGGACAAGCCTGTTCTTGTTTTCTTCTGCGTAACGCACGTGTCAGTAAAAAGGGGTGCCACAGTGCTCCCTTACCGTCAAGGGAACTTGGAGCACGGCATGTGCAGTGTGGTGGAAATGACAAATTTTCTGCTCAGGCTTGTTGCTGATGCTTAGTGGAGCTGTGAGTATTGTGTTAGCTAAAGGTCTTCACCGTCATTTCTGGAGTGATTGGTTTCTTAGCAGCACACAAGTTCCTAATTTGTCTCCTCCTTTCCTGGGTGGAAATTACTGCAGGGGCTGTAACACTGACTTGAAACAAGTGTTTGGTTTCCAGTTTTTGTGAGCGAAAAGAAAATCTGCTTTTAAAAAGTACACTACTTTTTAATGAAAAAGTATATTCCCACTCGTTGACTAAGAAATGAAGTGGTTTGAGTGCAGAGAAAAGTTCTTCCCTTTTTGAGCAGGAAATAAGCAACGGGAGGCCTTGATTGTGCAACAGGCTCCAATCAGTTGGACCGGGTGCCACCCCCGACCCTGCTAAAGCCATTACACTGGAGGCAAAAGTCTTACCAGAGTTGAGGCCTAAACATACCAAACACACAGGGAGCCCAAATGATCATTTTACAAAGACGGGCTGTAAAATCCCCATTGCACTTTACTCCTGTCTCATCGACTGTCTGTAACAGCAGCAGGCAAAACACGTCCAGGTTGAATCTTTTTTTTTGAGTTGGTAAGATGAGAGGTATAGAACTGGACCTACCTGTGGGCAGGGCTGAGAGCAAGAAAAAACTTGACCTCTGCAGTCAGAATGCTTAAGGAAAGCCAGTTTTAAAGTCTTTTGTGTCTCATTTTCTCCTCTTTATTGTACCATAGAGCTGGGTGGATGCAGTAGGTTCTGCCCTCAACTGGAGTAAGAAAATGTAGATGTCAGTTCCTGGGAAGCAGTGACTTGAGTGCACAAAGTGCGAGGCTCTAGGAATGAATGCACATCAGATAAAGCTGCAAATGTGTGCGTGCAACTCTTACAAATGATTCCTTTACACTGTGGTGCTGATTGCTCCCAACTTCAGAAATTTTACGCACGATAACTTGTATGCTTGAGTTAAGTCAGTGTGTGCAGAGGTGGCCATCAGCTGGGCTGCTGTCTGGATGAGCACTGACGAGAGCCTGATGGCTCTTCTGTCAGCCCGGCGTGCTGTGAAGCTCCCAGGTCTTTTGATAAGACAGTAATACTCCCTATAGTACCTTTCTCAGTGTAAGCCCAAGGGAGAGATGGACAAGGGGTGCTGTGCAATAGCGAGCTCTTGTCCTCTGCAAATGATCTGGCGTTTCCTGCCCATTGCTGTGGCTTTGTGGCTTGCTGGAGTCAGGCAGGCGGAAGGGTGCACTGAAAGGATTAGTGCCTGTTGTGTGGGAGATGTGGGGAATGCTGGTGTCAGACCGCTCCATCCAGATAACGGTGGCTGGGTTAACCATGTGCACTCTATCTGTGTTGAGCGCTGTGGAAAGAGTGCTGGTGAAATGACCGTTGACTCTCCAGGTTCCTCTTACAGTTGAGTCCCGATCATTAATCAAAGTGTGGGAATTCCCTAAAGGTTTGTTTTTCCATGTTTGTATTCGCTTTGTCTTCTTTGTCTTTGTTTTCCTTGGACTTGGTCTTGAACGACAGCCCGAGCTCTGAGGGTTTCCAGTTTTAGAGTCGTTCAGTCTCCTAACCTGGATCCCTTCTCCTCTGCAATAGCCAACACCTACATGGAGGCAGTGCTTGGTCACACACTTGGAACCTGGTCAGCTTTCCTAACTTCACTTTTTAAATGCTTTTTGTATGTTGCCAGCATCAAGTTAAATAAGTCTTTCCTCTGCCAGTTTTGGTTTTGCCTTTTCTAGCATTCTTGGTTTGTTTTCTCCTCCAGTATTTGCAATCCACCTGCATGTCGACCTCTGCCCGATGCTATTGTCCTCAGTAGCTTCTGTCATGCAGTTAATGTATTTGCACAGCCTACCTACACATAGCGTTTTCTAATTATTTGTAGTGGTCTTACAGTCTGTAACTACTGACATTGCAACAGTAGAAGAATAATTAACAGTTCTCAGCAGTTCCTGTATGGGGCTTTAGGATTTGCTCTTTAGACTTCAGTGCATTTTTGGTTCAAGTCATGTAATGGTCAGACCAGGGACTAAATCAGGTTGACATTTTTGCCTGTTTGAAAGAAGCACTTCATCTTCCTAAAATATTTTGGGTTTTATCAGTTTAAATAACAATGTCATAGGTAGCCTAGCTCCTATGTGCTCGATCTGTACATGGTTTTTTTTTAAGGAAGCAGTGGATGTGTGACTTGCAATATTGGTGCTATTGCTTGGTATACGTGCTCAGGCCTACAAAAACTTTCCATCTTACTCTTTTACTCTTTAAAGGGTTTGATGCTGACATTTGAAGGGTTTTTGTTATTCTCCAGGAAAAAGTTTTCATTTTTAAAAAAAAAAAAAAAAAAGGGAAAAAAGAAAGAAAGAAAAAAGGTTCAACCTGAAGTTGAATCTTTCAATGAAGTCTGGTGGATTTTTAAAGCATTTTGTCAGGTCAAAGGTAAGAAATACCTAAGCATATGTACTTAATGCCTTTTGAATTATGTTAAAAATGTTCTTCAGGCTTTTGGTGACAAATTATTTTTGAGGTATTATTATATTAAAATAGAGTATAAAGTATATAAACTTCGATTTTATATCATATAGGTAAAAGGTCTATCTTATCATATGTCATAATGCACACATATACATAAAATACTGTGTAAGTAACAGGAAGAGGAGCATGAAATACTGGCAAAGCAAAATGTCCGAAGCTCTTAACTCTTAAGTGTTTACACTGAAGTTTACAGTTTTTCATTGCATGCAAAGAATTTTAAAAAATTTTAAAAGGAAATTTTGCTGGCTGTTTTCATTTGTAGCAAATTCATGTTCTGGTATGAGAGCGTTCTTCATCACACAGAAAGTTTGGTTTTGATAAACTCTGTGGTCAGCCAGGATTAGTTATGGTAGATTTATTCTGCTTCATTGCCTAGAGATCTACTGGAGGAGCAATTGATTCTCATTAACATATAAATAAATAATATGTAATACATTTATGAAAGAGCATTACTCCATTTAATTCAGAGAAATTAGTCTGAATGTATGTCACCGAGACATCAGTGCCTGACCTTGTGATTGGTTTTGGTCACTCTGCAGCATTTTTACTGCATTGTGTTCTTGCCGTTATCAGTGAACTGAACCCGTGTCAGGAAACAAAATTCATTCTGTGGTATGGATTTCGAACACTTACTTGAAAAGGTGCTGGGCAGTGAAATTTGTTGAATGATGCTTTAATTTGCATGATACTTTAATCTGTCCTGTGATTTACACTGATTCTGTAAAACAATTTGAATCATAAGCAAAAATTGCCCAGGCAGTGATGAGATAGGACTGGAAAAACCAAAGGGCATCTCTACCCACTCAAATATTTCAGACTTATGCCACCTTGTTAAGGCAGGCTTATTTACATCACCAGAGATGCTTTCATATTTTTTGATACTTAGCCTTTTGACCTTTGGGAGTGTTGAACTATTCCTCCATTGGCTACGAACTTGGCTTCACACTGGGAATTTCTGGCAGCTCTGCTTAATGTGGACAAGAATGGGTGATTGCTGAAGTCGATGATTGCAGCATTTGTGCCGTTGCTGCAAACAGTCTGTGTGTGTGTCTGCACGTCTGTGTGTGTGCTGTGCTGTTCACTCTGTCTTAATATTGCTGAAAGAGCTAAGACGCTATTTGCTTTTTTTTGGGACCAGCTGAGGAACAGGATAAGAAAGAAAACTGGAGTATGGAAAAAAATCTCCCCTCCTAGTAACATGTCAGCCCATCTTCTTACTCTGCTCCTGATGATTAGCAGCAAGGGCAAATGTCCTACTGACAGTAAAGATCTGACCAAAACCTGGTTGAAATCAGAGAGGGTTTTTCACAGCCTTTGGGTTGGACACCGTTTCATACGAGGTTGTCTTCGTGTCGCTGCCTTCTGTGAAAATAAGCTGGTTCTAATGTAAAGCTGTAGCTTTGGGCAAAGAGTTCCCCTTGCTGCCATGAGGCTGGGGGCGAAGTTAGCCAGGGTCATAAAGTTCAGAAGAATATGGTGAATGCAGCCTTACTGGTTTTGGGGCATACGTGGGTGATTTGCTAAGCTTTGGCTGGGTGATCTGAAACACCGGTAGAAGCTAATGATTCTGTTTGTAACTTCTGTTCATTGCAGGCTGCAAACAGTTACCTGAGGGATCAGTGGTTCCATTCCTTGCAGTGGAAGGTAAGTTCTGGCTTCACTGTCTTCCTTGTCTGCCTCTGAATACTTTTTAGCATTCCCTGTTCCTTCATTGTGAGAGCCCTGAATGGATAAAGCCTTTTTCTTACAGAAACCCTAAATCAGAACATGTGTGCAGTTTTAACTTGTTCATATTGTGAATGAAGTGGGCAAATGAATGTGCTGCGTAGCCCAGCTTTATCAACCTGTGATTGGCTTCAAGAAGTAGATAACCCGGTAAATTCACATTTAAACAGAGTAGAGAGTGGATGGTTTTAGGTTTGTGCCGTGAAGTGTGATATGCTACAGAATGAATACAGCCTAATCATATGCTCTGGACTCTTGGGATACTTGGGGTTTTGCTTTCTTTGTTTGTTTTTTGTTGGTTTTTTGAGGAAATAGGGAGTAAGAATGTCTTTTAGAGTTGCTTATTTTAAGTGGCATCAGTTTGTTATGCATCAGTCTGTGGTCATGTTTTAGGATAATTTGGATTTAAAGGCAGTTTACCCTTCAGAGGTCTCGAGCCCTTTCTCATTTTCAGTTGGGACAATGGGCTGGTTCCCCTGAGCAGGGCAAGTGGATCACAGTCTCTCTAAAGCAGCACATTCCTCATCGAAAACTGTAGCTGCTGGCCTTTGGATGGAATCCGTATGGGTCTCTGCAGCTGGAAATGAGTTTTGGCCAGATGCTGAACATGGTTGTCCTCTCTCGTCTTGCAGTGGGAAACACAAGCAGCAGCTTTTCAGCTCAGGACTTGTCTGCGGCAGGGTTTCGGTGAAGTCAGCCAGGTTGACTGTGGGGGCTTATCAAGATTTCAGCCTCCTGACAGCAGCCACATGTGGAAATATAAGGAAGTCCCTTCCACCAAACTGGTTTTGTTGTAGGTGTGTTTAGTAGTTGCAAAATAGTTGTGTGGCAGAACTACAGTATTGGTGTGCTTTGTATAGCCATCAGCATCTGGAAGAGTCGTACTCTGAGTGGATCCAGGTTCTTATCGGTAAGGGCCAAGTGTCGACATCTCCTTTTCCAGACCACAGGCATATTCTCCAGCCTGTTACCCTGATGTGCCTAAATCGGTGTGGGACAGTAGTTCTGGTAGCAGAAGTCTGGGTTGTAGTGTGGCACTTTATTTTGGCCTCTTGACAGTATCGTTAAGACAATGTCTAATCAGTCTTGCTTCCTTTGCAACTCCTGAGGATAACAAAGAGCTTGACATGTGGACGTCAATTTTCCCTCCTGCTTTGACAGGCAAGGATGATCTGAGAAAGTGTGGACAGAAACAATGATGGGATTTCTTTTTCTACCTTGTTCCCGGCCGGGATGGCTGTGGTACTGATGTGTGTGTGCTAGTGGCACATGTCCACTTTGCTCCTGCAGGGAGGGGAAAATCAGGATTGGAGGTGCAGCTCTGGAGCTGTAAAGATGCAGCCTTGCCCCACCACCACCCACTGCATCAGTTAAGTTATAAAAAACCCCAAGAAGCCTAGACAGAATGACCTGGCTTGCTCACTTGCCTTCTGGTCATGGAGAGGGAGCTTTGCTCTGTGGAAGTTGTTTTTAAAGGAGTATTTCTTAAAGTTTCCAGTGCTTCTGACCAAGTCGCTCGTTTTGGGAAACTCTGAGTAATTTAACTTGTTGCAAAGTAGAATTTATTTTTGCTTCCTTACTTCCCTCCCCACCCCCATTAAGTTAGTTTCTGAAAAACAAGTGAAACGTTATCTTGATTTGAAAGACCTTTCCTTCACCAAGAATAGCAAGTAGATTTTTCCCATAAGAACAGTGATGGGTTTTAGTCACTTTACACTGACAGATTCTCTTTGCTAAAATGGAGGTCGTTTGGTTGGGTTTGGTAACTTTCTGCTTTGAACTTTGGTTGATATTTGACAGGTTTAAGTGAGATCACCACTGAACGAAGAGGCGAGACAAGTGGTGTCTCTAGAAGGAGAGCAGAGCAGCGTAGTTATGTGGTCTAGCTTAGTGAAGTTTATCACTTTACTAGAACTATGGCCTGTGACTTTAAGAGCCAAGCGCCAAGATTAATCTCACTCCATAATTTGTATGGTTTGATGATTAAGCAGGTATTGAGGGAACCCATGAAAAAAACCCAGGAAGCCTATTCTTCTGGAATGGGTCATTTACACAAAGCACCAGCTGGCAGAGAGATGGCCGCAGCTGTATTGTAATTGAGTGGTTGTGCTGATGAATGGTATATTTGTCCAGCGGTCTTATAAATAATAGGTCAAAACATTTCTGCAGGCACGTGGAACACAGATGCAAACTGGTGCAGATAGCTGAAGCAGTTACTCAGGGGAAAATGTTCAACAGAGATGAGCTTGCTGATGTTCACACGTGTGTGGTGGAAGCATTCAGGGGATCTGACTGAACCCAGAGCCCCACTATAGTAGACACTAGATGTAGGTGGAGCAGGAGGCCTTTACTCCCCCTGCCCAGCCCAAACAAGGCTGTAGGAACCCATTTTACAGGTGGCGGACTGATATTCTGAGAGTTTCCAGCCATGGGAATTGCCCCCCTTGACCTTAAAACAGGAATTCTCACACCACAGTGGTGAGAGCAGATTCATGTTCTGTCAGTGTCCTTCTGGCTCCTTTTCCTGTACTTCAAGCCTTGGGAGTCTGATGCTGCCTGGAAACGGACAGGTCCAGTGAATAGCTGCGGTGTTAAGTATCTGGGGAAGCTCTTTAGGTTCAGGTACATACTGGTTATCCTTTGGTCTCGTGTGAAGGTGCTAAGGTCTGTGAGAGAGCTTTTATGTGGTCCAGGTTTAAGGATTAACACGCTGTGGGAATTCAATTTGCCAGCCAGCACTCTGGAGATAATTTTTGTTCTAGTGGCAAACATTTACATAAAAATCAAGAAGAATTTCTTTCTACAGCCCAGAGAATAAGAAAAAAGATGTTACAGAGAAACAGAAAGAAAAGAAAACTGAACGCGTAATTATCCAAGTCTTAAATGCAAGTTTATCTGCCGAGAGAGGCTGTGGAGTCTCCTTCTCTGGAGACATTCAAAACCCGCCTGGACGCCTTCCTGTGTAACCTCATCTGGGTGTTCCTGCTCCGGCAGGGGGATTGGACTGGATGATCTTTTGAGGTCCCTTCCAATCCGTAACGTTCTGTGATTCTGTGCGATTCTGTAAATCCAGCTCCAAGAGGTTTATGTGTAATCCAACTAACTAGCTGTCGGGATGCTTACACAGCTCTTTAGATATGTCTTTCTCCTTGAATACTGTGCTCATTGAAGAGGATGGATGTAGGGACAGACTGTTCCTTATGTAGTATTTTTCTCTTTGGGTTTTCTATTTCAAACCCTCCCACTAAGGGTTACCCATAATTCCTCATTTAATTTGGATATTAGTGTGTATCACAACTCCTAAAGGATTATTTGCCACCTCAGCCCATTTTTAGAAATCCTGACTTCCTTTGGGTTCTAGCTAAGCCAAGCTGTCTTTGTCCAGAGAATAAACAGTGCATGTTAACAACTGTCCAGATCCTCAAACATAAACCATGAATCCACTGTATAAGGAATGTTCCTTTCAACTAAGGAGGTCGGATTGACACCATGATATGTAATCTTTGGTATTTGGAAGCGGATAAGTCATCACAGTGTATCAATAAAGATAGCACCACCTCCTGTGAATATGCAGAAGAGAATAATGCCTGCAGTTCATTGCGTTTCTGGATCTAGGCTACAGTGGTAACCCCTTCTGTAGGGGATGAATACAGCTAAGCTTGGCTTGTGACTAGTAATTTTGGGACGGAAACAAGTAAGCAAATATGTACCCTTGGCGTTTTCCCAGGCAGTATCCATCTAGTTTGTTGTTCTTGTCATCTTTGGGCTAAAGGATTTCTCTGTATTTGTAGAGTACCGAGCACGCAGGGGTACCATTCTGTGTAGAAAACGTTGAGCCCTGCTGCACCACATGCTTAAATTATGAGTCATCAGAAGACCCACTTGACTGATGTAGTGCCATGTTGTACTTGAATTAAAAAAGACATCAGTGAGGCCTTGTCCAGGGGTCTTTAGGTCTTCTCTTGTGATACAGGATGCAGGTACAGATTTAGTCTTGTTGGGGGGAATACACCTAAAGGTTACAGAGGGCAGTTTGCATCTTTCTGAATGCTCGGTAGTAAACTCTGAACGCTGCCCTCATTGTGGGATGCGGGTTGCTTGTGTTTTCTAGTTAGCTGAATGATGCAGCAATGAAACATGTCAGTTGATGGCCTTTGGGGGAATGTCCTGAATTGACACAACGCGGAAAGAACAGACCTGGGTCTGCACTAAAGCATGAAGCATTGACTCAAGCTGAGCTTTGTGTGCTTCTGACCTAGATCTTCCAGGAAGTCTTGTCTATACCTTATCTTTCCTACTGGTGCTATTAATTAGTCCTTGACTGTCCCCTAATGAGTAGTGCTGCTTGGTTAGGGGTTTTACCTCTCTGTTAGCATGGACAGTGCAGATGTGCCAACTGTAGGATTGTTTAGGTTGGAAGGCACCTTTGAGCATCATCTGCTCCCCTTCCCACCCGTGCTGCTCTTTTCCTCGCTCAGTGCAGGGCGTAGTTTGAAGTTGTGTGGGGTTACTGAGAGCCCATGCAGCTGAGCTGTGAAGCCACAAACCAGGCACAGCGTTCGCCTGAGGTCTGATGAGCTGAGCAGAGGGGAGCAGTCACCTCCCTCATCCGCTGCCTGTGCTCCCGCGTCTGCAGCCCACCCTGGCTGACTTCCAGTCAGCGATCGCGTTCCCTTCGGTTTAAAACTCGTTTTCTATGCAGACATCGTGTTTTGATTCCCATGAACTGGGAAACTGGAACAATGCTGTCATTTGGGATTTGCAAACTTTTTGCATTGAATGCTAAACCAAGTAATGTTTGCCTTCATTCAAAAACTAATGATGAATTAATACTTCCCTGGTTCTCACAGGGATTGCTGTATCTCTGTCTTCATGAAGTGGATACTTGCATGCACAAGCAGTCCTCTTAATTGCAAAGA